AGTTCATATTTCAATATTTCATACTGTCATTTGTGTACAATCTATAATACTACTACTTAGTAATCTATCTTGAAACAAGTGCCTTTTCAAACATTCAACCGCATAACCTGTTATATGGCAACTCCTTTGTCCAAAGTACCTGAATTTTTTTTCAACCTTTTGCATTTAATTTTCCAATTTAATTTCTAGGATATTTTAATGACAGAATACATGTATACGATTTCTGTGATAGGATACTGCAAAATATGCGATGGCATTTCGAGAAGAATAAATAAATTAGTCTATGTAATAAGTAGCTAAAGAAATGTAATCCATTTATGACATACATGAAATTATGTAGTGAAACACAGTATGTCATCAATCTTATATCATATAATGTGTTAGTCATTGTTAACATATGTTTCACGTTACTATTCTACATTCTTTTAGAAAAATTAAAGAAACAATCAGACTTATTATTGTGAATCATCAGTCAGTCAACAACTACACAGAACTTCGTACGTACGTACATCAGTTCATGTTGCCAGACCACATTAGCACAGACATGTAATTAATTGTCAGTTCAAATCCCATAGAAGTAGAGGTAGTAGAAGTATTAGAAGTAGTCGGAGAGATTAGGATTGAAAATAAAAACATAAAGGTGATGAGGAATCCTGTGGATCAGGATTTGAGAGAAGTCAAAGAATGGATGCAACCGCATCATCGCAAACAGTTTTGAGGCAGGTCATTCAGGGTATCTAACCATCGATTATTATCATCTCGCGGACCCCAAACAGGTAGTCGACAATTACCGACATGGCTAAGTCCACTCGTCAATGACTTCATAGATTTCTGCCATGTTTTGGTTTGGCCGCCCCTAACTTTCTTCCAACCTAATCATACACTACAAAACAAAGTTCGGCGAGGCAGTCGGTGGTTGGGCATACGCAACACATGTCCCAACCACCTCCACTGATGAAGTTTCAATACTTCGTCTATTGATCTGCCAGGTGCATTCTGAGTAGGTGAATATAAAATGTATTTTGGAATTACAGTAGTAGAAACGAGAATTTTTCTTAAAATCAATTTATAATAATCTATGAAAATAAATATCTACTATTCTGAAAATATTTAATTATTCACTTATATTCAGGCATTTTCACGAGTAATGGACGATCAATTTCATGATGTTGTTCAAAAATGTCATACCAGAAAAAAATGGGGCAGTTTGGATAATTTGACATCATCACCTCCATTTCGACGTGCCATTATATCTTGAAATGCTTGTACTGTTTTTTATGTTTTTCGCGACATTCTGCAATAACACGACAATTTAATTACCGATTGATTCTAGTTACCATTTGTGGCAAGTGCTCTCGGACCTAATATCCATTCATTTCTATTCAACTCTTTTTTTTAAAAAAAAAAATTAAGAATATCATCCATTGACTAATTTTTGTTCAAAGTACATACACACGCCAGACTCTTCTGTGTCAATATACATATACATATATATATATTTTGTAATCTTGTTGATCTCACTTTTTTTTTTCTTCAACTGACAAACAATAGAATTGCATTTGTGTATAGTAATTCACACGTATAAATCATTTGGTTGAATTACAAAGAATTTCAGTTTTACGAAATGAAACACTTAACAATAATCATTGCTGTTCAGTACACACAATATAATGTCTAGTATGCATGCTTTTTTATAACAACAATGTAATATTTGCCTATTTGTATTTTGTTGTTGTTGTTATTGTTTTTACTTGTTTACTAATGTGCTCAAACTTCTTTCATACATTTTGGTTGTCTTTCAAACAAATTTTAAGTTTCATTATGTATGTATGTATGTATGTATGCATATTTTTATTTCAATTTAATATGGCTTTTGTTTGCTTGTATTTTGCTAAATTTCTGCTGACTTTTATTATTTATTTGTTGTATGCATTTCTCCCAGCTTATTTTTCATCTGTTTCAATGAATATAAAAATGATGAGTAAGTAAATTGTCGAATAAGCAAATCGCGATAGAAACTCTAGCAATAAGCCTCACCAACAAATCGGTTGTGCTTTTTCCAAACAAAATACTCATGCAATTTGTTGACGAGTTTTCTCTATTCTCAAGATATTTATTTGTGTTGTAATAGAGTAGTAGTTGGTGCAATTTTATTGTTTTATATAAACATTTCTTCTACATCCTACTATGCAATTCAACAATTCTAATATTATCATGTAATACATATGTATATGTATCTTCTTCTATTGTTGTTATTATTATTTACATTCTTATTATGTATAATATCTCGTTTGAGAAAGCAAAAAAAATCAAAAACAACAACAATGGTTAACGTAACTGAATTCATACCTCTTGAAATATTTGTTTGTTTAATGAAATCTACATCAGTAATCAATAAATTCACCACCTCACTTCAATATATAACTGCTTTTCATACTCTATTTTGTTTCCATAAACATCATGCGCACAGCCAAAAAAACTACATGTGAATAATATATCACTCTTGTTTGTATTTCTTAATTTCTTTAAGAAAATATTTATCTACGAAATACATAATCTGCTTGTTTTAGTTATTTGTGCATTAAAATATTTCTATTTGCATATTATATAAGATGAAATGGAGAAGACTTATGGCTTGAAAAGGAACAGTTTCACAATATTGAATCTTTCTTTATCAAGCTCTTATCTTCTAGTTGATTAGAAACTTTAGTTATCCAGAAGCGATTGGAATGTCTACAAGTAGTTTGTTTATTTGGATTACATGATGATGGAATGAATAAATCAGCTTATGAAGAAAATTAACTTGCCAAAATGCCGGGGAGCACATCAAGTAACTAGATGATATTGGTGACAAGCAATTACATTACATACTAACTAGCTTTCAGCTCTTATGTTAATATTACCTTGGAAGTTGATTCACGTCTAAGCCATTCACTTCACGAAATATATTAACACCAGTGGGATTTTTAACGCTATACACAATGCATGACTGCTAAATCATTTTTCGACAGTATGTTGTCAGTAGGACATCAATATGGAGTGTCGTATGCCTACATAAATCTGTTAACTTTTAAACCACTTTAGTCAGAACTCAAGTCATAATAACTTGAAAACGTTATTTGCAATGTAGATGTACCTATTTTTTCATTATGTTTCTGAAACAAAATGCCGTTCCAATCTATGTTTTTCATTTTCGTGTACTTTGAAAAATTGTATGAACTAAAACTATACGTATTTTAAAACAATTAGTCCATTTTATAAATTTTGATAGAACAGTGAGAAGACGTAATTGATCTGAAAAATGTGATGTATTTGCGCTATACATTTCGAACAATCTGGTCACACATATTTACTTGTCAAGGCATTTTATATGAAGATGAATAAAAGGTCAATTAAATAAAAGTTCAAATAGACATAGGGTGATAATTGTAAATAAAGGAGAGAGAAAATTAACGTATTGTCTCTTGTGTCCGCGATTTTAGTGCTTTTACTTGACAATAGGGAACTATTGGAAATATTCGATCTTAATCTGGGGACCACTACAACTTTCATGACTGGCCGGAGAATACGAAAGACTGATGTAATGAAGATATATTGAATACCTAAAAACACACCATCATTAGATATTCTTAACACACAATAACGTCACATAGGAAGAAATTCATAGTTGCTGTAAAAACACTGGGTATTGTTCACCTGAATTGATACAGAGAATATAATTTTCAAACTAAAAGTCCACATTTTGTCATATTAAACAAACATCATATAGAATTGATATCAGAAAATACTGACTCAAATAATATCCCGTTAAATCGAAAATGACAAACATCTGTTCATTCACTTGTCTAATTTATGAATCATTTTGTTTGATATACAATTGACGTTCAAGTGCTTCGGAGAAAATGAAGAAGATTCGCCACTATCTAATTCTGTATACTTATAATAGGTTTACTTGTAGTGAGATTCGTATATATTACAATATGAATAATTGATGATAAGAATGGTATTAAAATCTTTTAGACTAATGTTTCAGTCAGTCAGATGCAACGTAGAACTTCGTACGTAAGTACATCAGTTCATGTCGCCATAACACATCAGCACAGAGACGCCGTTGTCAATTCAAATCCAATAGTAGAAGAGGTAGTAAAGGTATTAGAAGTAATCGGAGAGGTTAGGATTAGAAGATATTCAAGAAGTATGATTCAGTGAGAAAAGTTTAGAAAGTCAAAACTAGAGTTGTTGAAGAACGCAGAAGATTAGGATTTGAGAGAACACAAAGCATAAATGCACCGGCGCCATTGCGAACGATTTTGAGCCATGTCATTCAAGGTCTCTAACCATCGATTATTATCATCTCGCGGACCCCAACCAGGTAGTCGACAATTACCGACATGGCTAAGTCCATTCGTCAATCATTTCATGGATTTGTGCCATGTTTTGGTTTGGCTGCCCCTAGCTTTCTTCGAACCTACTCCTACACTACAAAACAAAGCTCGTCGCGGCAGTCGGTGGTTAGGCATACTAAGCACACGCCCCGACCACCTCAACTGATGAAGTTTCACCACTTCATCTATTGATCTGCCATTCTTACCTAGCACCCGCTTCCTAATAACAGCGTTGCTCACTCGGGTGTCCCAGGATATACGAGCAATGCTTCGAAGACACCTATGATCGAAAACCAGTAACCTACGAATATCTTCTACTCTCACTGGTCATGTTTCACAGCCATAAAGTAAGACGGAGCGAACCACTGCACAGTACACTCGTCCTTTTAGACTAATGTTTGCAAAGTTTATATTTACTGCTTATCTTGGGTTAGTTTTTTCCAATCAATACAGTTACTATTAGACGAAATAACTGTATCTTGATTTGTTCTTGAAATTGTTTCTACAATCATGACTAAGTTTTGAGAATTAAATTGGTATACGGTTATGGGACTTTATGTTTCGCAACCTGCAACAGTTATGATTATTTTTTTTCAAATAACAAAATAATCGTGATGATAATTTATACATATATATTACTTTGATTATATAAATTTATAGTAAAACATATCAAGAGTATCATATCTTCCAGATGGCAATTGATGTTTATAAAATACTGGTGGAAAAAAATAAATACAAATAGATCTACATCGAACATATCATTACCAGTACATCATAACCATTTGTTCTATTCAGTATTATTAAATAAGAGGACATCATTATTGATGGCGTATCAATTATGCAATAATAAAGCAGTTTATTATTAATCTTTCTATAATTCGGCTTTGTAATTTTCAATTTACAAATATTTGGGACAACGTTGGAATCGGAGCGAAGTAATGGTACAACAGGACAGGGATTAATTCTATTGTTCAAGATCAGTTAGTTTTGAGTAATTTCAATTGTTTAATTAGTTGCTCAACAACTTCTTTGTTATTTAACTTTGCCAATTGATCTTTGTTCAAATTCTCACCAGCCTGTTTCTTTTTTTCTATCTCTTCTATTTGAAGCAGTCGTTTTTGTTCACGTCTAAGCTGTCGATCAATATTGTCAGTGGTATTTATAGTTGAATCATTTGAAATTTCTGTGTTTGCCTTATCAATTTTATGTGGTGAAGTACTATTACGTCCTGTAAGTTTTGTTGAATTGAGTTCTGTTTGTACTGCTGTTTCTAAAAATCATTGAAAAGATTTCGAATTATACTAAAAAATGTTTTTTCAATAGACTTATAAGAATGATGACTTAATGAAGTACTTGTCTAAAATTTTGTTAAAAATGACTTACGCTGATGAAAAAAAAATCGTGAATTACTGATTGCACAAAAATGATCGAAGCAACTGACATTGAAGTTTGTCAACATTAAAATCAGGCAAATTCATATGAATTTGGTAAGTACATGAAATAATATCATAAACGGCTTGTTGTATATAATATCTTGAGATATGATATCGCTAATTGACGAACAATTATATGGCTCAGTAGAAATCGTTGAACAGGAATTAGAAAAATTTAAAAACTCAAGTGTGCTTTGAAATATATAATAAATTAGTAGCTATAATTATGACTAAGTTTTCTTTTATGACATCAATAGCAAAATGTTCTCTTAAAATAAAAAAAGAAAAATTGTTTTTATTCATATTCTTATTTGGATTTTGTTTTCTATTGTTTTATAGTAGTATTGTGTGAATTTTCATGCCCCAGTTTTTTACAACATAGTTATTTCATCTTTTATGATGTTATTATTCTATCAATAAATAAAGCATATCGATCTTCGAAATACGAAAAAAAAAGTTGGTCAGTAATCACAAATTTTCATTTCATCAGGAAATATCTAATTGATTAATTTGAAACTAGTTACTTCGTAGCTCAAGGAACGTTTTCATACGAGTTGATAATACATATATTGAACATGTGTACATAAATTACTCAATTGTGTTTCTTCGCAATTGAGTAAGCAATGCTGTCGTTAGGAAACAAGTACTAGGTAGGGATGGCAAATCAATAGACGAAGTAGTGAAACTTCATCAGCTGAGGTGGTTGGGCCATGTGTTACGATTACACAACCACCGACTACCTCGTGAAGCTATGTTTTGTGGTGTAGGAGTAGGTTGGAAGAAAGTTAGGGGCGGCCAGACCAAAACATGGTACAAATCCATAACATCACTGACAAGTGGATTAAGTCATGTTGGTAGGTGTAGACTACCTGATTGGGGTCCGCGAGACGAAAGTTACCAATTGTTAGAGACCTTGAAAGACGTGACTCAAAATCGTTTGCGATGGCGCAGGTGCATCCTCATCATCTCTATCTTTCTCTTTCTAAATTTATCTCACTGAATTATACTTCTCGAATCATATCTTCGCTCCCTAATCTTCTCCATTACTGCTAATATATATATATATATATATATATATATATATATATATATATATACATCACATCATTTGAACGACCATCAACTGAATTAGACTGTAAGAAATTGATGGATGGTTGGTTATACTAACCTGGAGGTTGGACATTAGTTTGTTTGCATTTCGCTTTCTTGGACTTTTTCTTTTTAGGGATTGAATTTGTTGTTGTTGTTGTTGTTGTATCAGATTGTGATTGTTTTAATCGTTCTAGCTTTAGATTTTCCGCATCCTCTTTTGTCAAACCTGGGATCACAAACTGAGATTTCTTCTCAAGGATTTGTACACCAGCAGATCGGTAACTAGATGTTCGAAATAAGCAGCATAACGCATATGATGCAAAATCTTTTTAATGGATAATAAACGAGTTTATCCTGAAGCTAACACCAACAGAGGAAACAAGAATTTGGAAGGTTTTTGAGGAAGATTGCTTAAAAACCATTTTGTGAGTTCAGGCAAACAATTTGCCAACAACAAAACAATTCGGATATCTACTGTTCTGACCACTAGAAAGAATTTGAAACAAAGGATAGTTAGTTCCCAGATAGAACGGTAACCTCGTATGTATATACACGCTGTTGGTGCACGATTGAACTATAATCTATTTGTGTATATCTGACTTACAAAGAATGGACACGAAGTAACGTCACAATTAGCTATTGGTTGAAAATAGATATAAACTTCTACTAATTTTTAGATAACCAATATTACTCTATCACAGAATAACAAGTCTATATTCATCATGAATATGCATATCTTCGTTCCGTAAATACTTAACTAGAGTGTTCAGACTCCCAAATATATTTACAAAACCTCAGATATTTAGGTTGAAAATACAAAAAGTCGTTAAATAGATTAGTTTTTTAATCTTCAATAGACGAACAATTTTTCAAATGTCAATTTAAAAAATGCTTCAAGATTTGGCCGGTTTTGAAGTTGGCATTGATATATAGACACTCAATTAGATTGCAATTAATAATTTAGGTATGTTGGAGTTTCAGTTAATGGGAAATTTTATTGTTGTGCTACCGACCTTTCATTTACTGATGAAAATTTCCTTTAATTTTTTCCTGTTTTAAACAATTTTAGTTTTTTTTTATCTTACAATCAGAAGAAGTAATTTAGATGCACCAAATAAATTTCGAATTGTAAATTGATTAATAAGTAATAAAACAATTCCAAAACAGTTTGTACATACAAAAACAGCAACATAACCTACAGCGGAACTTCTTCTTGAGGAACATATCCCTCTTTAACACGGACAGCTTTTCTCCATGTACCATCGGGTCGTTGGGTTGGAGGGATTATTAAATTACCTATAGCACAAAAAGTACAATATTCACGAATTAAAATGTGTACCATTTTCATCACGAACAACGCCCTGTCTTACAAACCCACTCATTCGGAAAAGTTTGTAAGTACGAATTTGATATGTATAGCCCAACGTGGAGGATAATTCTCAGAGTAAAATGAACAAGTATCTGAAATTGTGAAAAGGAAATATTTTGTAGCTAAATGAAAAAACTAAGATTAATTTGTGAAAGAAACTGTACAGGGCAATATATACGTGCATCAATTTCCGTACGAAGTAAGCCTAAAGAAGAAAGTATAAAGCGACCCCATATATCAGATTAAATAAATCGACTGATATCTAGAAATCAACATTATAGGCTTGTAACTCTTACTAAATTAAATTGAAACCTAATCATAACTGGACTGAGTCATGGTAGGTGTAGACTACTTGGTTGGTGGTCGTGAGACAACAGTAACTGGTGGTTAGAGATTTTGGATGAAATGGCTCAAAATCGTTAGCAATGGCTCATATGAATCCATTCCTTGCCTTCACTTAAATTCTAATATTCTGAATTCTTCGCTACTTTCTTTCGATTTTTTAAAATGTACTTCACTGGGATATACTTTTCTAATCATATCTTCGATTCCTAATCTTTTTGATTACCACTAATACTGCTACTCAGACAGTAGGACTGTCTGAGGACTTCGTACGTAAGCACATCATTTCAGGTCGTCATACCAAATTAGCGATGTGAAGTACATTTTAAAAAATCGAAAGAAAGTAATGAAGAATTCCCGACCGAAGCTGCTACCTTGTCGTGGTGGTCGGGCTTGCCTATCGTGATGGCCCAACCGAGCTAAATTGGCTCGAACATATGTTCCTGTAGGTTTTACCATGCCAGGCTGGTCGATTGGAGAAGGATGGGACTAAAAACAGCTACTCAAGGTCTGAGGGCGAAGTCATACTGCTCACTGTAGAGAGGTGTGACAGCAGTAAGGTGTTTCCCTCGGACAACCAGCATCTCCAGCGATGCTGCCTTCTCACAAAGAAAGAAAGGGGTTAGAAAAGGTCGACACTAAAAGTGTCACACCTCAGCCTACCTCACGGATTTCCGTCCCTGGCGGTAAAGCCTTTTAAATGAGAACGAAGCTAACATATTAAAAAAATCCCATAAAAAGGCCGTGCGTGATCGGCCTCAAGCAGTCGTCCTTTGGGCTTAGCGGTCAAGCTCTCAAGGTCTCTAAGACCAACGCTAATCTACGTTCATGTTCAGGTTCCTTAAGAAACACCCTACCACGGTGTGGGCAGCCGGGGAGTGATATCCGCCCTCATACCCGTAACAGCACACGAGACCGAATCGGTCAAAATCAAATCCTTCATACACCCCCTAATACCTCTCTTATCTCCACGCCTCACCCTTTTCACATCCCTCTAACACCCTGCACTCCGAACGCAAACGACTCGAGTTCACAAAACGTTATTCCTGGTCTCCTGAAACCTCATTCTAAACTACATGTTGGAGCTTTTAATGTTCGGACATCGTGTCAAATAGGACAACAGGATTTCGTAGCTAGGACCTTAGAATTTCCCGCCATCGATGTACGCTGCATCTCAGAAACGCGCATACAGGATCCGAGTAGCGTCACCATGTCAACACTGCTACTACCTCTACCACTATGGGATCTGAATCGACAATTCCATCTCTTTGTGGTAATGTGGTATAGCAACTTAAAATGATGTACGTGAGTAGCCGAATGATATATATATATATATATATATATATATATATATACATAATTGTTATGATAAAGAACATTGATTCCCGCTCAGTCAGTCAGTTACAAAGTAGCACTTCGTACGTACGTACATCAGTTCAAGTTGCCATACCACATTTGCACAGACGCAACTGTCGGTCAAAATCCGATAGTAGTAGAGGTATTAGCAGTAATCAAAAAGATTAGTGATCATTCAAGATGTATACCCCACACAAATCAATTTTAAAAAAAGAGAAAAAACGGTCATGAGGAATGCAGAAGATTAGGATTTGAGAGAACACAAAGAATGAATGAACCAACGCCATTACAAACGGTTTTG